TTTTTTGCATCCCCTGGGAGTTAAGTTTGGCTGGTATTGAGTTTTGCTGCCTTCTGCTGTTTCCGAAATAAGAGGCCTATGTGGATTGATAATCTTTGGTCATTTAAAAAAAAATGGTAAACCGATCCAAATTTGCATTACTCTCTGTGGCAGAAAATTACAATTTTTCTGAGGGTTTAAGTGGAGTGTCTCAATCATGGAGGCTGGAAAAGGAGGTCAGCACAGTCCCCTGAGAACAGCCTCACCCCACAGCCCCCACCCCCAGAGTCACCAGCATTTTCCTCCCAGTACCTGGGCTCTGAAGCACAGAGGCCAAGTCTGCAGTCACTTTATAGTCTATTCGGTAAATTCTCGAACTCATAATCGGGACCAAGGTCGCTGAATTACTTTTCTTTATTTCTTGAGTTATTTTCTGTTGGTGGAAGAAGGTGTAAAATTGCAGAGTCACGGCCCTGGAAACGTGCATGCAGATTCTTTGGGTGTTTTGCAACATTGACGTACAGAGGCCACTGTAGATAAGAGAACTGTGCTCTTTGTGACCAAGAGCCTGGAAAAATAAGAGGAATATTTCTCCGTTGATAGTATCTACACCATCAACACTCGGACAGACACTGTTAGGGTAGGGGTGGGATTCCACGAGGTCAGGGGACAACACAGGAAGGAGATTTGACAGAAAGGGGTTGCCAGAAGGGCAAGGCAGTCTAGAATTCTTAGCCTTGATGGTTGATCGCCCGCAGGTTAAACACTTGAGAAAACTGGGTTCCAGGCTTAGGCCCTCCTCTGTGAATTTGGATTCATTCATTCTTTCTACCTCTCTGGGCCTCAGTTTCCTTATATGTTAAAGGCAGAGAGAGAATATTTGCTCTGACTACTTTAGAGTTCTCCAGTTCTCAAGTAAGATACTGAGATAGCTTTCAAAACTCTGAACTTGTGTCCTCAGTGCCTAGAACAGTGGCAAAGCAAGAGCTTATTTATTTAGCAAATATTTCTGTAGCACGTACCGGGTCCCACTGCTTTTCGAAGCACTTTATTCATTGAATGCTCACCGGAATCCTGTGAGGTAGGATGTATCATTAACCTCATTTTACAGGTAAGAGAAGTTGATCACAGCTGGATTACAGCTGAATTGGATCCACCTGGAAGACAATCTCCTTCCAGAGTCTGTGTGTGCTCCACGCTGCTCTTTGTCCTACCATGGCACCACCTCCATATTTGGGGACTGAGCTCTACCCTCTGGCGAGATGGGTGGAGATATTCTCAACTGTGCCAACCGATGATGGACAATAAAAGGAATGACACACTGTGCCAGTGGAATCCATCATTGGAGTGATTTGTTTTCTACACCCATCACCATTGTTTCATGTTTTGCTCTGCTTGCTTTTCTTAAATTATTTCTACCGAGTTCCTAGACGACTCCAACCACTGAACACTTTACCCTCTGAGTTATTATTACTACTATCCTGCTCTCCTTCCTCCTGGCGACCTTTCCTGTAACTTTCCAGTTACCTTTCCAGTTCCTGACCTGTTACTTTTCTGGGAGCTTTCAGAGTGCACTGCCCAGCCATGATGCAGCTTCAAGGCAACTTACCGACCAATCAGCTTTGAAAAAGAAAGTCTAGATCAGAATTGCCTAATTTCATGCTATAAATGACTCGCGTTTCTTAATGTCTTACCTTTTGCCCTCCTCACGCCACCCTCAGGTGTGCTGGGAGTGGACGATGTTGGTCCCGAGAGGCAGTTCATGAACCTATGGGGTGAGGTATCAGAAGCTCCATGTTGGCTCGGCTCCCGAAACCACTGACTTGAGGAGCTGAGCCACCTTCTTGTCAGTTGAGAAACTATGTGTGTGAAGTGCTCTTTCAGCACATTGTTCATATTTAGAGGAAAAGCCTCCTGTTACCCTTTTCCTCCAACTGCTTGTGTCTTTGTGTTCTGTTCCCACCAGCAGTGATGGAAGTCTTCCACTTTTTCTCTGTTCTTTGAATACCAGTTTTCATGGATAGAAAACCATTCTCTCGACTTTTATTCCATTGCTAAATCAATTTCATTCTGAGAATACTGGTGGGGACCTACAGAAACAGTTTCACTTTAAAAATTATTGTTAAATAGCAGGACTTCCTACTCAATAAACTTTTCTTAATTTTTTTTAAATTAACACCCCTGCTGTGTTTCTTCAGATCTCTGTCCAGCGGCGTAGGACTTAGGGATCCCTTATTAAGCTAATCACTTTTATGCACTCTGAAGGAGAGTGCAGTTTATTCATGACTTTTACCCCTTCAAAACTAAAACAAGAGCAGATACATTAAATATGGCTAAAAGTTTTGTCTTGCACTGAGAATTGTTGACTGAAAAAAAAAAAAAAAACCTCTCAATGTGAGAACTGTGAATTCAGTTTTATTTGGGGCTTAAAGAGGGCTAGAGCCCGGGAGACAGCCTCTCAGATGGCTCTGAGGGACCACTTTGAAGACGAGGTGGGAGGGAAGCCTGTATATATATGATTTTGGTGAGGGGGGTACCTGCATTCAAACACACATCTTGGGAGAATGTTGCCGCTTAGTGTCACAAGGAACAGATGTCTCCATCAATGATTTTAGTGCTTTTCTTAAACACTTGCATCTTTCTATGAGAAGATGCAAGGAATTTGGCTCATAAAACTTTCTCCCGAAAATATCTAACACTCTGAAGCCCTGTTCTGCCAGTTTTCCCCAGAACAGAGTGTCTTGTTCCTGATCCTTTCGGGCTATGTTAAAGGTCAGCTACTGTATTGGCTGGTGACTTCATTCTTGTAGAATCAGATGGCGAGTGACATTCTTTAGTTGGCAGAATCTAATATACTTGCTTTCAAGATTACTGACTTTGTGGAGGTGGGTTAATTTGCTGTGTGTGTGTGTGTGTGTTTAAACTAGAATCCATTTGACCCTTGAACGAGAGTATTGGGGGGCCAGCCCTCCGTGCAGTCGAAAGTCCACGTATAACTTATAGTCGCCCCACCTTATACTCAGTTCTTCTGTATCCGTGGTTCCACATCTGCAGATTCAGCCATCTGCTGACTGTGTAGTAATACACAAGTACTTAGTATTGAAAAAAAATCCAACTATAAGTGGATTCACACAGTCCAAATTCATGTTGTTCAAGGGTCAACTGTAAATTTCTATTTGCCTTAATCCAAGGAGTGTATTTTTAGCCTACCTTTTAAAAGAAAGTTTGCTTAGCAAGCTTTGTTGTTGTTGTTTTTAATCTGCGAAATGGGAATAATACGTACCTTGTAGCATAATTGGAAGAGGAAGGAATATAACAGACGGAAGAGATGCCAGCACCACCAGCCGCAGGGTAGGCATTCGGTCAATGTTGGTTGAATCAGAATTAAGCAGTTTGCAGTCTCTTAAAGGAGACAGTGCAGTGTGGTTAGTGTATGAGATGTGAGATCAGAGACCTGGGTTTGTGTCCCAGCATGGAAGCTTAATGTCTCTAATTTCCATTGGCTTCATCTGTAGAATAGATATGCTTATGAGGTTATAATACCATAGTTACAACAATTATGTAAGGTCATGCCCGTAAAGTACATGGTGTAATTAGACGTGCAGCCAGGTCTTATGAAATTAAGTATATTTGTATTATACGTGTGATTTCTGTCACATTCAACAGTAATATATAGATAACTGCATGCCCAATAACAGAGTATAGAAAGATACATAGGTGTAGAGATTATCAGTAGATGGACAGAGTGATAAGAATGTGATAGATGTCACTCTAGGTTGCACCCAGGGATTGAGTTTTAAAGGCTGGAACAGGTGTGTCTTCAAGAGACAGCACTCCATCAAAGCTGGTTAAATAGCATTTAAGCTTGGGTATGAGAAAAGATGTGTGTTTATGTGGAAGAGACAGAAGAAGTAGATGGCGGGGCTGATAATAGAACAAAGGAGGTTAAAAAGAATGAGTATCAGACAGTGTGGAACTTAAGCTTCCCCCTAGATTCTTACCCACTTTGACTTGAGTAGCACCAGTGTCCCTGTTTTCCTCCTGAGCCCTTTCCCAATTATACTTCCAACTCCTGACTCAGGCAGTTACCATCAGTTTACTCTTGACAGCCTTTAGATGGAAATAAATATGGAATATGAAGTAACCTGCAGAGTTCTGTAAAGCTAATCCCCCCCCCCCCCGCCCCATCCCTTCCATAGAAGTATCATAAATGCCAGTTTCTCAGCTGGCATTCGCAAGCCTGTTGTTTTACGTTTCCATCAGTCCTGCTTTGCCTTCTGCACTTGGGTTGGTATGAATGATGACCATGGCCATGGGCTTAGTGATGGTCATGATAAGGAGATAATCAGCTTCACTGAGGGTTTGCATGGGCCAGGCTCTGTGCTAGGTATGGTCCACATATTGTCTCAATTAAATCCTGACAACAGCCCACTAAGTTAGGAGGTGTTACTCTTCCTCCCTTATAAGGGAAGAAATTCAGTTTCATAAAGGCTAAAGTTCTCAACCAAGGCTGATAGCCAAGTGAAATTCAGATCCTGGAGCTTGAGATCTCAAATACTGCTGACGTGACGAAAGGCTGCGAGCTGCATTTGTAAAGGAAGACAGGTATTAGAACTTAGGTGCTTCTAATCAAACATTCATGGTTTTGCTATGTACGTAGTTGGGGGTTTCGAAAGAGATCCATGACTGGCTTTTTTT